GGGTAGAGCGGGCCGGCGAGCTCTGCCTCGGCCCCGCCACGGTCCGATGCGCCGCTTGCGGGGTCACGTACTACTGGTGAGTGGCCCGCAGGCGGGCGTTCGTCCGGTGAAGAGCCGCCGGGCTGAAAGCCTGGATTGCTGTTGCCATAGCTACGCCTCTCAGCCGTCGCAACTGCATGTTTGCAATTTAATTATGCCTAATAATATGGAGAGAGAGAGACGCCCAGCTATGCATGTTGATCTATGCATATTCATTTGTTGCCTAATGTGGCTTGCAACCATGAACGTATTTTTTTCTCCACATAGGCAAAGTTTCTTTTCTGGGACGCCACATTCAGTGCCTAAAATCGTCCAGGTTCACTTTTACAAATTACGCCTAACAATTACCTCTATATCTACAGCGCAGCGAGGGAGCTCTGTCCGTCTCTGTGTGCATAGTAATTCTCCGCCTAATATGGCTTGCAACCCACTAACAAACCTATTTTTTCTCCATCTAAGCCCCGGTTCCTTCCTTGGAATGCCACGTTCAGTGCACATCTAGATTTACCTCAGGAAAAGTGTGCCTAACAACCTGTGCAGAGACAGAGGCGCAGATGGATGTGTTTAGATGTGCATTTTGGCTTTATTGCCAAATAATAATGATAATTGTAATGGGGGGGCACCTGACAGGCTGCCCTGAGCCTGCTTTCCCCCTTCCCCTTGGCTGAGGGCTTTGGCCCTTAAGATTAATTTCCCCCTCAAAGACGAAGAGGAATTTAAATGAATCCGAAGAGGTGGAAGGAGGCCCGGCTGACGGGGAGTTTCTTTGCCTTTTGCCAGCGACGTGGACCACCAGCACGCCGACTGGGTCAGCATCCATGAGAAGATATGCCAGCTGCTCATCCCGCTGCGGACGGCGCCCCCCTTCTACAACTCCGACAAGGAGAGGAAGCTCGGGCAGGAGCAGAAGCGGAGCCGAGAGGTAGTCCGGGAGCTGGCGAGCTGGTCCAGAGGGGCAGACCAGCCCTTTTCCACTGCAGCGCAATCTCTCCCAGCACTGAAGCGCCCTTCTTCCCACAAGCACAGAGCGAGGCTTCCCCACGCTCTGTCCGTCGCCCTTGCTGGGGGCTGGATTGCTTTCGAATTTTACTCTTCCTTACTGAGGCCCCAGTCGCGTCGGTCTGAGTCGGTCGCCCATCTAACTTTCCCCCATCAAATAAATAGCCAGCCTGATGAAAGCCTTTTTCCCTTCTCTTAAGATGGGCGAGAAAGCAGCAGAGACATTTGCTGAGGTCTCTTGCTCTATTTCCTAACTTTTCTGTATTTACCATCCCTCTTAATGAGCTTCTATAGGTCTGGTTCTTCAGTTGTTTGACCCAGTGAACCCTTTTTCTGGTCTTGAATGATGTCATTCCCCCCACAAAACAAAAACAGACTGTTGCCTTACACGAGGGTCTCGGCTGTGGACAGTCCCAGACTATACCCTCGACTCACAAACAAGCCATTACAGATTGCTCCATTATCCCCAAGATATGCCCAAATGATCCCCAGCTGAAGAACCATTGCTACAGATTTTGTGCTAATTTTTACCACGCAGAGCCCCATTCGCTTGAGCAAAAGAAACAGAGAATTTTACCGAACTCTCTCCTTAAGACTATTTCTTATTTCTTCTATATTTATGATCCTCATTGATGTGTTTCTATAGATTTTATGCTAAGCTTTATACTGCGAACCCCCACTCACTCGAGGTACATAGGAATTATTATAATTTTATTTATTTATTTATCAAATTTCTCCCCTGCCCATCTCCCCCCAATGGGGAACTCTGGGTGGTGCACACAAAACATTAAAACCATAAATACATATAAATAAATAAAACATAAAAATTCCTATGTTCCCCGAGTGAGTGGGGGGTCGCAGTAAAAAGCTTAGCATAAAATCT